TCGCGGACGAACGCGGGCGACGGCCGCGTCGCGGGCTCCGGCGGCGGCGCGGTCGCGGCGAGCAGCCCCGGCGACGCAGCCGGCGGCGGCCGCGGCGGACCCGCGAGCCCGTCGGTGCGGCGGAGCCGCATCGTCGGTATGGGCGGCGACTACGAGGGCGGGGTCAGCCTCGGCGACCCCGCGGCGCCGCCGCGGCCCGCGGTCCGCGGGAGCCGCATCGTCGGCTTCGGCGGCGACGACGCGAACGACGCCGCGGCCGGCCCGTCGCGGCCGCCCGCGGCCAGCGACGCCGACGGCGTCTCGCGGCGCCACCGGCCGCCGCCGCCGGAGCACTGCCACGCCTGCCTCCAGCGGCGGCCCTGCGCCTGCGACGCGATGCAGGTCGGCGACCTGTCGCCCGCGCCCCCGCGCCGGGGCCGCGCGAGCGCCGTCGACCCTTTTCCGACGCAGCGGTGGGCGCCGCCCGTGCCCCTCGACCGCATCCTCGGCGTGGGGGGCGGCGGCGACGACGGCGCCCAGCTCTCGCGGCGCCACCAGCCGCTCCCGCCGGAGCACTGCCCCGAGTGCCTCCAGCGGCGGCCGTGCCCGTGCGACGAGGGCGCTCGCGTGCGAAACGACGCGGCCTCGGTCCGCGGGAGCCGAATCGTCGGCTTCGGAGGCGGCGACGACGCGAACGACGCCGCGGCCGGCCCATCGCGGACACAGGTGCGGGGGAGCCGCATCGTCGGCTTCGGCGGCGGCGGCGAAAGAGACGCGAGTCCGACCGCGCGGCGCGTCGACGGCGGCGATCCGAGCGACGCGGCGGCCGGCGGAAGCGCCCCATCGGTGCGAGCGAGTCGCATCGTCGGCTACGGCGGCGGCGACGAGGGCATGGGTAATGACGATCCGACGCGGGCGCGCAGCGGCGCGGTGCAGATGTTCGACGCTCCCGGCGGCTCGGCGCAGCGCGGCCGCGGCCCCGGCCGCGGGCCTCCGCCCGTCGGAGGCTACGACGACGCCGCCGGCCGGGACATGCCCTACGGCGGCGGCACGCCCATCGACGCCGACTCCGTAGGAGGAGCGCCGCGCACGGCCGTGCGCGGGAGCCGCATCGTCGGCTTTGGCGGCGGCGGCGAGTACGACGACCCGGCGGCCGATGCTCTCGGCGGATTGCGCGGCCCCGGACACGGGCCTCCTCCCGTCGGGGGCTACGACGACGCGGCGGGACAGGGCCGGGTCTACGGCGGAGGGACGCGCATCGAGGACCCCTCGGCGGCGCCCGGCTACGGCGGCGGCACGCCCATGGACGACTCGGCAGGAGCGCCGCGCACGGCCGTGCGCGGGAGCCGCATCGTCGGCTTCGGCGGCGGCGGCGAGTACGACGATCCCGCGGCCGGCGATCCGATGGCCGGCGATCGAGGAGACGCGGGCCCGTCGGTGCGAGGGAGTCGCATCGTCGGCTACGGCGGCGGCGGCGACTACGACGATCCCGCCGTCGGCGATCCGGGCGCCGCGGGGCTCTCCGACGCTCCCGGCGGCTCGGCGCAGCGCGGCCGCGGCCCCGGCCGCGGGCCTCCGCCCGTCGGGGGCTACGACGACGCCGCCGGCCGGGACATGCCCTACGGCGGCGGCACGCCCATCGACGCCGACTCCGTAGGAGGAGCGCCGCGCACGGCCGTGCGCGGGAGCCGCATCGTCGGCTTCGGCGGCGGCGGCGAGTACGACGATCCCGCGGCCGGCGATCCGATGGCCGGCGATCGAGGAGACGCGGGCCCGTCGGTGCGAGGGAGTCGCATCGTCGGCTACGGCGGCGGCGGCGACTACGACGATCCCGCCGTCGGCGATCCGGGCGCCGCGGGGCTCTCCGACGCTCCCGGCGGCTCGGCGCAGCGCGGCCGCGGCCCCGGCCGCGGGCCTCCGCCCGTCGGGGGCTACGACGACGCCGCCGGCCGGGACATGCCCTACGGCGGCGGCACGCCCATCGACGCCGACTCCGTAGGAGGAGCGCCGCGCACGGCCGTGCGCGGGAGCCGCATCGTCGGCTTCGGCGGCGGCGGCGAGTACGACGATCCCGCGGCCGGCGATCCGATGGCCGGCGATCGAGGAGACGCGGGCCCGTCGGTGCGAGGGAGTCGCATCGTCGGCTACGGCGGCGGCGGCGACTACGACGATCCCGCCGTCGGCGATCCGGGCGCCGCGGGGCTCTCCGACGCTCCCGGCGGCTCGGCGCAGCGCGGCCGCGGCCCCGGCCGCGGGCCTCCGCCCGTCGGGGGCTACGACGACGCCGCCGGCCGGGACATGCCCTACGGCGGCGGCACGCCCATCGACGCCGACTCCGTAGGAGGAGCGCCGCGCACGGCCGTGCGCGGGAGCCGCATCGTCGGCTTCGGCGGCGGCGGCGAGTACGACGATCCCGCGGCCGGCGATCCGATGGCCGGCGATCGAGGAGACGCGGGCCCGTCGGTGCGAGGGAGTCGCATCGTCGGCTACGGCGGCGGCGGCGACTACGACGACCCGGCGGCCGATGCTCTCGGCGGATCGCGCGGCCCCGGACACGGGCCTCCTCCCGTCGGGGGCTACGACGACGCGGCGGGACAGGGCCGGGTCTACGGCGGCGGCACGCCCATCGAGGACCCCTCGGCGGCGCCCGGCTACGGCGGCGGCACGCCCATGGACAACTCGGCAGGAGCGCAGCGCACGGCCGTGCGCGGGAGCCGCATCGTCGGCTTCGGCGGCGGCGGCGAGTACGACGATCCCGCGGCCGGCGATCCGATGGCCGGCGATCGAGGAGACGCGGGCCCATCGGTGCGAGGGAGTCGCATCGTCGGCTACGGCGGCGGCGGCGACTACGACGACCCGGCGGCCGATGCTCTCGGCGGATCGCGCGGCCCCGGACACGGGCCTCCTCCCGTCGGGGGCTACGACGACGCGGCGGGACAGGGCCGGGTCTACGGCGGCGGCACGCCCATCGAGGACCCCTCGGCGGCGCCCGGCTACGGCGGCGGCACGCCCATGGACGACTCGGCAGGAGCGCAGCGCACGGCCGTGCGCGGGAGCCGCATCGTCGGCTTCGGCGGCGGCGGCGAGTACGACGATCCCGCGGCCGGCGATCCGATGGCCGGCGATCGAGGAGACGCGGGCCCGTCGGTGCGAGGGAGTCGCATCGTCGGCTACGGCGGCGGCGGCGACTACGACGATCCCGCCGTCGGCGATCCGGGCGCCGCGGGGCTCTCCGACGCTCCCGGCGGCTCGGCGCAGCGCGGCCGCGGCCCCGGCCGCGGGCCTCCGCCGGTCGGGGGCTACGACGACGCCGCCGGCCGGGACATGCCCTACGGCGGCGGCACGCCCATCGACGCCGACTCCGTAGGAGGAGCGCCGCGCACGGCCGTGCGCGGGAGCCGCATCGTCGGCTTCGGCGGCGGCGGCGAGTACGACGATCCCGCGGCCGGCGATCCGATGGCCGGCGATCGAGGAGACGCGGGCCCGTCGGTGCGAGGGAGTCGCATCGTCGGCTACGGCGGCGGCGGCGACTACGACGATCCCGCCGTCGGCGATCCGGGCGCCGCGGGGCTCTCTTCGACGCTCCCGGCGGCTCGACGCAGCGCGGCCGCGGCCGCGGCCGCGGGCCTCCGCCCGTCGGGGGCTACGACGACGCCGCCGGCCGGGACATGCCCTACGGCGGCGGCACGCCCATCAACGCCGATTCCGTAGGAGGAGCGCCGCGCACGGCCGTGCGCGGGAGCCGCATCGTCGGCTTCGGCGGCGGCGGCGAGTACGACGATCCCGCGGCCGGCGATCCGATGGCCGGCGATCAAGGAGGTGCGAGCCCGTCCGTGCGAGGGAGTCGCATCGTCGGCTACGGCGGCGGCGACTACGACGACCCGGCGGCCGATGCTCTCGGCGGATCGCGCGGCCCCGGACACGGGCCTCCTCCCGTCGGGGGCTACGACGACGCGGCGGGACAGGGCCGGGTCTACGGCGGCGGGACGCCCATCGAGGATCCCTCGGCGGCGGCCGGCTACGGCGGCGGCACGCCCATGGGCAACTCGGCAGGAGCGCCGCGCACAGCCGTGCGCGGGAGCCGCATCGTCGGCTTCGGCGGCGGCGGCGAGTACGACGATCCCGCGGCCGGCGATCCGATGGCCGGCGATCGAGGAGACGCGGGCCCGTCGATGCGAGGGAGTCGCATCGTCGGCTACGGCGGCGGCGGCGACTACGACGACCCGGCGGCCGATGCTCTCGGCGGATCGCGCGGCCCCGGACACGGGCCTCCTCCCGTCGGGGGCTACGACGACGCGGCGGGACAGGGCCGGGTCTACGGCGGCGGCACGCCCATCGAGGACCCCTCGGCGGCGCCCGGCTACGGCGGCGGCACGCCCATGGACAACTCGGCAGGAGCGCAGCGCACGGCCGTGCGCGGGAGCCGCATCGTCGGCTTCGGCGGCGGCGGCGAGTACGACGATCCCGCGGCCGGCGATCCGATGGCCGGCGATCGAGGAGACGCGGGCCCATCGGTGCGAGGGAGTCGCATCGTCGGCTACGGCGGCGGCGGCGACTACGACGACCCGGCGGCCGATGCTCTCGGCGGATCGCGCGGCCCCGGACACGGGCCTCCTCCCGTCGGGGGCTACGACGACGCGGCGGGACAGGGCCGGGTCTACGGCGGCGGCACGCCCATCGAGGACCCCTCGGCGGCGCCCGGCTACGGCGGCGGCACGCCCATGGACGACTCGGCAGGAGCGCAGCGCACGGCCGTGCGCGGGAGCCGCATCGTCGGCTTCGGCGGCGGCGGCGAGTACGACGATCCCGCGGCCGGCGATCCGATGGCCGGCGATCGAGGAGATGCGGGCCCGTCGGTGCGAGGGAGTCGCATCGTCGGCTACGGCGGCGGCGGCGACTACGACGATCCCGCCGCCGGCGATCCGGGCGCCGCGGGGCTCTCCGACGCTCCCGGCGGCTCGGCGCAGCGCGGCCGCGGCCCCGGCCGCGGGCCTCCGCCGGTCGGGGGCTACGACGACGCCGCCGGCCGGGACATGCCCTACGGCGGCGGCACGCCCATCGACGCCGACTCCGTAGGAGGAGCGCCGCGCACGGCCGTGCGCGGGAGCCGCATCGTCGGCTTCGGCGGCGGCGGCGAGTACGACGACGCGAACGACGCGGCGGCCGGTCCTTCTCGGACGAATCTGAGGGACAGCCGCATGGTCGGCCCCGACCGCGGCACTGAGACTCCTGGCGAATCCTCCGTCTACGACGGCGGCGATCCGAGCGACGCCGCCGCCGGCGGGCCCGGCTTCCGCGGCCACACCTCCCCTGTTCGGGCCAGCCGCATCGTCGGCATGGGCGGCGGCGGAGAGGGCGGGCCGTTCGACACTCCCGGCGCTCGCGACGCCGCGGGCCGGGACCTCGGCGGCGTGGCGCCGGCCGACGTGCCCTCGTCGGTGCGCGACGCGTCCGCGCCAGCGGTGCGAGGGAGCCGCATCGTCGGTTTCGGCGGCGGCGAGGATCCTACGGCTAGCGGCGACTTGGGCGCCGACGACGCTCCCGGCGGGGGCCGCGACGGGCGCGCCCGAGGGGCCCCGCCAGCCGGCGGCTACGACGACGCCGCGGGCCCCGGGAGGGCTTACGGCGGCGGGACGCCCATCGACGCGCCGGGCGTCTCTGTTCGCGGAAGCCGCATCGTCGGCTTCGGCGGCGGCGACGAGCCCGCGGCCGGATCCGGCGCGCGAAGCGACTGGGACGAATCCGTT